GAGAAAGCATGCGACAAAGGACTGGATCCGGCAATTCACTGATCCTATCTTTAACTATCGATTGCGGCATTGGCTTCTTGTATAGCATGAGAGATTTTGACTGAGAACCCATTTTTGTCTCTGTAAATTGTGATGGAAAAATGAAAGTAAATAAAACAAACTCTTAATGTATGCAAAATTCTTCTCATTATCTTCACAGGTATTATGCAATTCTATTTTCTAGAGATAAGTTGTCCTCAGGAAACAAACATCATGAAATTCTACTTTCTGTAGAGTTATTTTCTCAGGAAACAAACAGCCCAAAGAAGAAAGAAAACAATGAAAAAACTTTGGGTGAAAGTTATTCTATTTAGATCTATGTAGAGTAAGCAACTGAATGGAAAGATTGCATTTTCTTCACAGATAAACAAACTAAAAGGGAAAAGTTTGAATTTTTTATTAATCATTTCTAAATTCTTTTTTTTGCTTTTGTCATTCTACATTTCTCAATTTTCTCAGTAACCAAACAAATGGTAAAGGAAGTAAAAGGGATGTGAAGAAAAGTGTACCTGAAAAGTTCAGCAAGCATTTGCTGTCTTTGCTGCAAGTAGGAACTTCGATCTGAGGTTTGAACACTCCATGCTCCCTAGGGAAGACTTATAAAATTTGAGTCTGACAAAAAGAAGTTTTGGTCCTTTTTAAGCTTATGTGTCGAGAGACTTGTAAGCAATTGCTGCGTGACCTTGTCATGTTTTACAACTGTAGGGTCATCTTTTGTGTCAGTGTGAAATTACTATTTAGTCTAACTCGACCCATTAATATATCGTTCCAAATATGTAAATTGTAACTCATTTGCAATTTGTCGTGTTTCACATTTTACCGTTTATTTTCTATCAATACAACGGTTAAATATAAATTCTGGTTAATTACACATTGCATCACTTTTTTAAATTGAACAAAAATATCCATTAAGTTACAAAATGTTTTAGTGTTAGCCCTTTAGTCCACTTAACTACTATTTTTTGAGTTAGGACGTGGCGGGCAAAAGTTTCTTGAGGAACAAGAATCAATAGTTACAAAATGTTATAGTGTTAGCCCGTAGACAAACCTAACAACAATGAAGTCAATCAGTGAGGTTGTTTTTGCTGGAATGAGATCGTCTCGTATCTCTGGTTTTGAAGTAGACAGACCTCAAAATTCAAATCATTCAATTTAAATCATGCGGCCTTCATTAGTCTATCCCACTAGTTCACCTCACAAACAAAGCCACCCTCCCTCTCTCTCTCTCTCGATCTCTCGAATGGCCTGGATTTCCCAGTCTGGCTGCTCCGGGGGCAGAGATCTGGAGATGTCGTCATGGCATTTTTACTTACATAAACGTTTGCATTTCTTGCCTAAAAAACGTTGTATTTGTGGAATATGAGCCAATTTTTACAATTTATATATTTCAACGTTTAAGATTTTCATTGATAAACCGTGATTCCACGTGACACCAATAACATTCATATATAAGTACAAAACGAACCAAATTAGTAGTAATTAACTTAATAGTTCGATGGACTAAGAGAATAATAGTGTAACACATGTGGCTTGAAGGTTTGTTTTGTCAATTTCACAAGACAATGACCAAACTGTAACTAGTACCAAATTAAAGGGGTGCAAAGTGACCGCACATAGATGTGTAGAAGTTGAAGTACACTACAAGCACTCGTATGATTGGACCTTGAAAACCAAGTAATCTTGCACCGTAAAGGTTTTGATATCCACAAACAATTAATTGGAGAAGTTGTAGTACATAAGAAATTACACAAAGTTAGCCTAAATTCCATGGAACTTCAAGCTCCCTCGTTCGAACAAACCCAGGGTCACCAAATGACACTTCCAACAGATTCATCATAAGATAGTGGTTAAAGATAAAGGAAAGAAACGGCAAAGACAATCATCTTAATATAAACAAGAAGTTGCTTGAATCGTCAACCTCCATGGCAGAATCCTTCTAAAACCCAGAATTAAAGTACCAGAATAATATCTTTGTAAACGCTAAAAATTGCATCTTAATTAGATAAATTTGACTCCTAAACCCAAAACTAGACTTACAAAATAGAACCCCCCTTGCAGCTAATCATCATAAACAAAACTTGACTGTTCTCTAACAAGCACTTTGCTGCTTCCATCTCATGGAGAACGTTTTGAGTTGTGAGAACAAATAAATAGGCACAAACCCTGGGGTATTCCCTTTTTTTTTATACTCTGAGGATTCATCCAATTCTTCATCATCTGAGCACATCTGTATCCTGCTGATAATTTTAAAACTATAAACAAAATACGAATGGTATAGCGGCTGTCCGAAACTTGTTGATAAGAAATGTATACAATACAAAACAAACATCTGCAAATCTTTACATCTTCAGATTAACAAAGGTGCTTGTCTCATTTCCAGCTTTGATAGCAGAATCCATCTAAATCAGCAATCCAAAATTATAACGATGTACAAGCTAACCTTCAACTGGTCAAGTCCTAGAAGCCCTTCTAGGTATGAAATCTTTGTAAGCCCCATTCTTAGCATAGATAGTCATCTTGTCCAAAACTTTACCGTTCTTCATCAAATATTTTAGCACTTTCTGCTCATGCGGGTATATCTTTAATCCCCTTATAGTGATGGTCTTCAGGTGCGATATCAGACAAATGGGCACAGACTCTGGTGTTCGCCATCTATCTGCCGAATTTAAGACATCTCCACACTCCTCAATGCATTCCTTGTCCTGAAAAGTACGAATGATGAGAATGGTAAAGAGCAGCATGTTGTTATGACTTAGTATGAGTGGAAATACTTCTTACTTCTTTATGTTCGACAACAAGAGATTGCAAATTAGGTGATTTCTTGAGCAACTCTGTTAGCAAATCCCAGTGATAGCAATCAGAAAGAACCAACTTCAATTCGGTCAAATGATTGAAAGCAGGCAGACAACCATCCTTCACAAAATACAAAAATGTTGATCAAACAATGCATAACTTAATCGCTCATTTATTTTTCTCAAATCATCAAAATGCAGGCAGACAGTAACCCTCTAGTGAAAGATAAAATATTGATCAAACATTCCATAAACCATGCATAAATGAAACATTTACTAATGCGCATATTGTTTCAAATTATAAATTGTCAAAATGTAATAAGGTTTCAGTTACAAACACTACTTGTGGTATAACGAAAGAATGATGTATAGGGAAAAAGGAATGGGAAAAGACGGCATGCATTTGCTTCATTTAGTTAAGGATAGGACAAGGAAATATGTGCATAAACTTTTCCTCATTTGTTTCGTACATAAAGACCTGATTCAGAAAAAATAAAATAAATAAAATAAAGAATAGGAACAAGATGAGAATTTTATTATTTCTTTTCTTAACACAAAACCAAAATACTATATGTTTTACAAATGAAGGAAAACAATATACTTCTTCTTTTAAAGATCCCCTGCCCTCCTTCCTATTTTTCCTCTTTACCAAACATAGTGTAAAAGAAACGAGTTACGGTGTAGACTAACCTCCACATAATGAGCTGAAATGAACAGATATTTAACGTTGGAAAATGCCTCCAGAAGAGCAGTTGCTCGTTCAGAGAAGCCAACCTGGGTTTTCCCAATATGGCAATAGAGATCGACACTGCCTTTGGCCAGGGATTTTAGATTCTCAAATGTATAATGTGACAAATAGTCCTGCTTAATGTTAAAGTATTCAAGCTTTGGAGCATTCACAGATATATCGTACTCAAAATCTTCAGCACCATTGATAAAACTGAAGAAAGTCATTCTTAATCTCTTGAGTTCAGGCGCTGAGACCTTAAAATTCTGACGGTTATGATCTGGAACAGTTGCCTTTATAGATAAATCTTCAAGTACAGGGCAGCATGAAAAAAGCTTTTCCATTGAGTCATTTTCAGGAAAATCAACTCTGACATCAAGGGACTTCAGACTTGGGAAACAACAGCCTGATGTAGGAGGAGCATAGGTAATAAAATTTGACATCAACTTCAAAACCACTAGCGTTTTGCAAGTGAACACGCATCGAGGCAACTCCAAAGGCGGTTCCTCAATATACTCATCATAATGTGCTTGAACACAGAGATCAAGTTCAACAACATTATGGCTAAAGGCAGAGCGAATCCAGCCATCAATACGAGAGGCATCCTCAACACGACAGTAACAATGAAGACGTAATTTTTTAATATCTGATAAGCCACGAAAATAGAGAACACGATCAACAAACGTCAAAAATCCAACATGGTCAGACAGATCTTCGGCTTCCCATCTGAAACCATCGGGGTCAGGCTGATTTTCATCTCTCCATACAATAGGTATGTTTTCGAATTCGAAGTCAAGAATGGGGACAGAAGCCCATATGCTCTTCCATCTAGTAGAGAGAACACTGGTCCTCACAACATATTTTGCTGGAACGAAGGAAAGTATGTGACAAAGAACTTCATCCGGCAATTCACTAATCTTATCTCTACCCATGGAGAGTATGGGCCTGAAAATTTCAAAGAAAAGTGAAATTCTAATTTCTAAATCTGATCAATTGATACATTAAGAGAGATGAATGCAACAAATTTCTAAAGAAAATTATTTCGGCGGAAACATAAACCCTAGACAATCTGCCTTGCACATAGATCATGAATTGAATGTAGCAATTTCCGGAAACAATATTGAAGCTATAACTAGTTGCATTTTTATAGCAGATAAACAAATCAAATGGCATGCAAGACTTGAATTTGCTATACTATCAATCTTTCTCAGTTTTCTCGGTAACCAAACAAATGGTAAGTAAATCAACAAGTTCACGAAGCAAAAGCATACCTTAAACGTTCAGGGATGGACCCAGTGAAACGCTAGTGGCAACGAATAGTGAAGTATGGTGTTTGGTTGCAGAGAAACGGTGGCAAAATCCAAGAAAATCAACCTTCCAAATTTAAAGTTTAAAAGTATCAACCTTCCAAGCTTTCCTCTGAAAAAATCTGAACCCCTTTTCTGCGACCTTATGTTTCCATGCTAGCTCTGGTTTGGGCCTCTCTTGCCTTTTCATTGGGGTTTTCTTCTTGGGCTTTGCCAATTTGTTTTTGTCAAATTTGGCATTTGGAATTTTGAAATAAAACTATTTGTCTTCTTTACTATTCCGTAAGAATTTGGATTAGTAGAAAAACTATGGAATCGGATGCTAATTACTAATTAATCTCATAACCCCTTGCCTAGTGAAAAGCGAACGAAGGCCCAACCCAAGTCTAAACTTCTACGGATGCATTCTTTAGGATTATCTGTTCTTCATCGAATTTACTTTAACGAACCGTTCCACTTAAGAATCAAAAATACATTGTTGCCTTAAGTGATATCGAAGCTACATAATGAAGGATAGAAATTGTGTGTTACTATTATCTCCCTTAAAATTATCAACTAGATATAAATAGTGTACTAAGAACGTGCATTGATACATAACAGCTAATCACATCGATTAGAAAACCCACATCAACGTATTTGCAAAATTGATCCAGCTCAAGATCAACAATGGACTTGCAATTTAAAAGTTAAAGACTGCGTTTTAGACGATTCAACTCCGCTCCTCCATTTTAATGCATGTTTGTCGTTTTAATCTTTGTAACTGGTTCTGTAAGTGTCGTGGAACTTAAATTCATCAACTCCTCCATTTTAATGCCTAGTTGTTGTTTCGTTTTATCACTTTGATCATCAAATTAGTTGATTATGATGTCCAACTTCCTCCAACGAATAAAGTGACGCATCAAGAAACTAGTAAGGGTTACAAGTGTAAATCCTTGAAGGATAAAACTCTGAAGTCCACCAGTTTGGTAGAAATCTCAAAAGATAATTTGATTAATTGATTAAAAGATTGATAGATTATTACAATGGATAACAAACATGGCTTTAATAAACCATTTACAATCTCTTTGGAAAACTTAAAAGACTTAGGAAATTAAAATGAAAATAAATGACATTAATCGGACTCAAAACTAAAAGGTCCAATTTTTATTACATAAATTAAAATACCATTTGGAAAACCAAAACGATCGATTTTGGCTTTAAAGCTAACGGGCTCTTAGTATATCATGAGTCTTGTTCAGCTCGCAATTCTCTTCAAAATCGACATATTATGCGCCCAATTTTGACATCAGAATATTGGTTGCTGCCTTTTCTATCACCAGATCAATTTGAATGCAATATTTTTCAACTTTAATTATTCTCTTCTAGAATTTAAAACATTTTATTTTCTTTATATTTTTTCGTCGGAATTGACTCATACCTTATCCTACACCAGTCTCCTCCACTTGAAAGCACCTCACCCTTGAGTTGATCTTGAAAAAAACTAGGCTTGATATAATCTTGATGAGTAAATAAATCCTTCAATCCGAGGACCCTATTCCTGATATTTAGTTGAAATCACCAATGAACTAATATCATACAAAAGATTAGAACATGCAACTTGATAATCTAACATCTTCTTGTACTTCATATTTGCTTGTTTTCCCAATCTTGCAATTTAAATCCGCATTAATTTTATTACCTCCAACCATGTCAATCATAATATTTTTCATATTGAAGACTACCTTGATTTTCATGGATGTATTGTTGTGGGATATCAACTTGCAAGATCTCGTCTTCCTCAATCTTTGCTTGTTTGAATTTGGATATCCCTTAGATAAATAAAAATCGTATTCATAAGGAAACAATTGTTCCACCAATAGCCGTTTCATCTTCCTCCATGTGTTAACTTCTGATTTGCCTTTTGTTGACGAGCTTTCTTTATACTTTCTCATGATATTTTAGTGGTACCCTTATCCATAATTTGAAGTTATCTCCACGATTCTCTTCAAAATTGACATATTATGCACCCAATTTTGTCACCAAAATATTATTTGTTGCATTTTCTGTCGCCATATCGATTGAATGCAATATTTTTCAACTTTAATTTTTCTTTTATAGAATTTAAAACATTTTATTTTCTTTATATTTTCCGTGGTATTGACATCATAAAGAAACCCTACAATAACAAGGTAAAGAACTAATAATCATAAATAAGGGGTAAGTAGACATAAATCTCAAAGCAACTAGGAAACGATAAGTTTAAAACTGCGAACTACATTTCATACCCTTGACTACTGCGTGAAAGTTTTATTTTAATTTTTTTCATTTTGCACCATAACATTGAAAATTGTATCACTTTATACTTCTCGACGAAGAATTTGATTATCATTCAACTGATGATATGCTGAGCCTGAGATCTTATATGGGCTAAAGTGCTTCATTTGCACCACATTATTCTCAGTTTTTATTTTTTATTTTTCAGTTCAAAATAAGAAAATTGAGAACCAAAACTAAAAATGGAAATCCATATTTTAAAAACTTGAGAAAATATTTTACTTTTTGATTTTCAGTTTTTGTACTTTTTTTAGTTGAGAAAATAGCTCACTTTTTTGTTGCTTATAGAATTTTGCTAACCATACCAGTTACGAAAGAGGTTTTTCAAAATTAAAGTTGATAAAATCTCATCTTCAATCAATTACATGTGACAAGAAAAACTAAGTGGGTTAGCTATTTTATTAATGAAAAAAGAATTGGTTGAAAAATTAGACTGTGTAAACTTTATTAATACATTTACGTCTAAAAACACGAGACCTGTAATATTTAAGTATTGTTTTCTTGTTTTGATATTAATTTTTTGGTGATGCTATCCAGACACCCATTTTTACCTACCATACACATATTGTTAATTTTTTTCTTTGATCTTCTATAATTCATTTGATCCAATGACCAAAATTTGAGAGAGGTGTATATGGGAAGTAAAGAGGGAAGTGTCAATAGCATCACCCAAAATGTTTAATGATATTTATATATAAATAGACTTTTTCATGGATTTAGTGAAATTTGTTTTTATACATATCAATGTATAAAAGATCGGGGGTCAGAAATAACTTTAGAGTCCCACTTAAAAAGCTCGCCTATAATCCCAAGTTTTCAGAACCGGCCTAGGGGATCAGCCCGCACCGCAGTACATGCCAAAATGGTATTTATATAAGAATTTATGTTTACACTCAATTTTCATTTTTTTTTCGAACAAACGATATTATCTACATTAAGGGGATGGGGGAGTGAGTTAAGCTTGACAATGGGCTAGCAATAATATGGTTCAACTTCGCCTTTGACGAGAATCAAACCTAAGACCTCTCACTTACAAATGAACAGGAATACCACCAAACTGTAGGCCGTCTCTGAGATTTCAGGGGCCCTGTGATAAATTTATAAATGGGCCCCTCCTTAAGATAAAAAAAAATAGAACAATATATTGATGCTAGAAAATAATCACTTAAATCAAAACAAAGTTTAGCACTCACAAATTGCAAGTTTATAAATATCATTCATTATAAGTAAAAAGAGTTATAAACATAACATTAACTAAATAAGCAAAAGAAGTTCAATCTGAAATAACCAAACATTAAAAAAAAAAAATCAAAACCCTAAACTTTAAAGTTTCACTTGAGTATAACCCATTATTATATAATAAAATTGAAAAAAAAAAAAGAAATTGTTATTGGCACTTCAAATTCCTCATTCTACGCTCCAAACTTTCTATATTTAGAAAGAAAAATACCCTTACGAGGAGTGTATAATGAGATTTTTGGACAATAACACTTCCCAAAAAATATAGTTTTTAGAGTGTTATTAACACTCAAAAGCAAGTGGCCCACTACCACAGTGGTGAAGATGAGTTTGCCTTGTACCACGGCGTAAGTTCGAAACACGTCGGCTTCCTAATCTAACACATAATCTGACAAATCTATCGTTTGACAAAAAAATTATTGACACTCAAAATATCTCATTGTACTCCATATTTTTATATTTAGAAGGAAAAAAAATACCTTTATAAAGAATACACAATGAGATCTTAAAATGCTAACAAAAGCAATTTTTTAAATATAAAACATTATTAAATAATATTAAATGGCAAAAATTTGGAGACCCTTTCAAATTTGAGACCATGTGCAACTACATCTTTCGCTTTCCTCTAACACTCCCTCTGACCGTAATACGAAGTGACTCAATTTTTATCTTTGAATGCTCATCAATTTCTCTTTAGTAGAATGAGAATCATCGTCAATTGTAAAAGTACAACATTGCTGAGGCCTACGTTTATCCAAAGTGTGATTTATCTAGTTTTATCCAAAAAATATATCAATTTTTGGAATTAAACCTTAGTCTCTCATGCTCTAATTTCACCTATTTCTGTTTTCATCCCCACTCATCGACTTCTCTAACTCCAAATCCCTAAGTAACGAGAAATTTTTCATTATGATCGAAATGCGGGTGGTACATATTATATCATTATATAAGTGAAGAAAAATTTTACTTTATATGTAGTTAATTATTTAACACAAATATCACATCATTTGTATAATGACATGTGGTGGACCGCGTTATGGGGACTCCGAAATCTCTCCTAAGTGTACAATAAGTCATAAATCACTTATATTGTGTGGAGAGAGTAAATTTGAGGAACAAATGGTCGACTATGAAAATTCTAAAGAGGGAAATAGTGAAATTTTTCGTGTATGTTTGCACTCACCGTTTTGGTTCTTAATTTTGAAAATCTAAAATTTTCAATTTGAAACCCCAAGAAAGAAGGAAAAGAGGAACAAACTTTGACATTCTTTCCTCTTCCGAATTATCACACAATAGTTGTTTCGACTGGCCAAAGGAGGAAATGCAATTCAAAAATTTGAGAACAGAATCCATCGAAAACCCGACATTTGAGTTTGGAATTACAACGTCAAAATGTCCTAAAAGCTACAGATTACGTTTTACACAAATTCAAGTTCGCAATCCTTAGAACCCCTTCGCTGCTTCAATTGTTTGTGAAACTCATTCTCCACTGTCATCTTTTTCAAAACTCTACCATTGTCTAACAGGTACCTTGCCACTTTCGCCTCGTGAGGGTATCCCTTGAATCCCCTGATCACGATACT